ACCAAAGCTCGTTGCTATCAGGAATTCACCTCGTTCGTTTTCACTTGAGTTAGAGGCTTTATAGTGTGAGGTGACATCACAATTCTGAATGAGCTCACTCTCCTCATTTACATACTTATCTTTAACATTAAATTTTTCTTGTTTATCTGGCAGATTATTTTCCGACAATACTTCACTAACCTTTTACATTATTCTTTTTAACAATTATCGGGATGCTTTATTCTTTTAAGGTTTAGCGTTTCCTAACTGGGTTGTGGGGTCTCCCCCCCCCCTTTTTGTCGGTGCAGACTTACTTTTTTCCGCTCGGGAAGCGCAAGTGTGCGCGAGTTTTTCTACGGCGCTTTTCTTTCGTCGGTGAGTTGGTTTTTCTTCTATTTTTTAAGTTACTAAGGTGAATGGTGAGGAAACCTTCGTCCTAACAAAACATAAGCCCCAAACAAAATATAATGAAAGCAAAATAAAAGTAAAATAAAAATAAAGCTCAGACTTGGTTCCTTACAGGACTGTAAAATTTTTGTATCTTGCTGACATCTTCCAATGTCTCAGTGTCTTGAATATGAGTTTGCAAGATGCAAGCAAAACTATTTTTGACACATTCAACAAGATTTGCAACTTCTTTTTTTGAAAGCTTCAGTGTGGAATCACTGAGTTGGTAGTAACTGCTTTGGCATGTTCTCGAGTGTTGACACAATGTTGAAAGCAACAATATCAATGGCATTGAATTGGTGTCACTTATAAGGTCACACCTTCTTGAGTTACAGCGGAAATTCACTGAGAACTTCCCTGAGGCAGTCAATCCAAGAGTGGGAAATTAATGGATTTTGAATCGTTTCACTACCCAGCAGATGACCAATCTCTTTGGCTGAAGAGGATATTCTTGCTGAAATGTCTTCAGATGCATCATTGAAACTACTCAAGGAGAAGACAATGGTGCCTAGCTTCTGGATCAAGGTTAACAAGAAGTATTAAACTTTGGGTGAGAAAATGATCAAGAATTTTCCCGTTTTTGTCAACTTAATTATGTTAATCTGGATTTTCAGTAGTGACTGTTATCAAAAGCAAAGAGAGAAATTGACTGGAGGTGGATCTGACTCTAACATTGCAATTGACACTCATTGGCTTTACTCCAAGAATAGATGAGTTGGTATCATCCATGCAGTTGCAGGCATCTCATTCAAAATCCATTTGTTACTAACTTGTTATACAGTAAGTTAATGACAATGACAGATTCAGAAATAAATACCAGTTCACCATAGAATGTGTTGTCATATATTAAAATTATCAATAAATAAAAAACATATAATTAATGCTAAACCTGCAAGAGCTATGCATTCCTGTAACTATGCAAGTAATTGAATTAGGAGGTCTGCGAGAATTTACGTGGGGAGTTTTAGGAGTCTGCGACACAAGAAATGTTGAGAATAAGTGCTCTAGATGATGTGAATATATTCATTTAAATCAGTGTTTCTCAAAGTGGGCGATAACGCCCCCTTGTGGGCGGTGAGTAAATCTAGCGGGCGATGGAGACAGGGTACTGAATGGTGACCAAAGACAAAAGTCGGGGTCACTGACAGCTGTTCCCTTTCCTCTGTTAAACGGATAAGAGGAAACATTGCATTTAATGGTTTCCAGATGTTGAGAAGAATGTACAGTAAGGGCACAAAGTGTGAGATTCATAGAAAAGTTTTCCAAAGAATATTTCCAATCCTTTCTCTCACAAGAGAAAATGGGTTAGGGGTGTTGGTTATAACTTTATGGAACAAAGGGGGCGGTGGATCGAAAAAGTTTGGGAATCACTGATTTAAATCAATAAAAGCTATTTTCTGAAAGTTTAGAGCATGTCGCCTGCAATATGAATAAAATTTTGGTGTGAACTGGCATTTATAGAGAATATCATTTGATTATCTAAATTTATCAAAGTGTTCATTTTCTAAGAAATTTTTTAAGATAATAATTAAAATATTGACTTCACATTAACCTCAAATTTTACCGACTCTGTCCTAAAACATTAGACTTCACAATACTGGTTGTGACTGTTGGATTGTGAAAAAATTTTTAAAACTGAAAAAAGTTACTACATGTTTCATTTTTCATAAAATATTAATTTCATGTTTACATATGTATTTTTTTGTTTGCAGCATTTTATACCTGTGTTGTTCAAATACTGTATAATCTTGCATTTATTCAAGCAATTGCTCAAATCAGTTATAATACAACACAGAATCAAAGACTGGGTTGGAAATTGTATGCTAGCGATGCACAAGTAAGTTTTTCTTATCTCATAACACACTTCTATGAAAAATACGTATGTAATTAACTTCTTGATTTCAGGGACAGATGAAAAATATAGGGGTTATATTTGGTATGGCAATTGATTATTTAGAACACAGTGGTCTGTATCTGAATGATGACGATTTGGATTCATCTGTAGTATGTATATGTAGATTGCAATAATAATTTTTATTTCTTTTATGTTTTCTGTTTAATGCATTCATTTTATAATAGAAATCAAAAGAATGGACTATAGAAGATTTAAATGTTTCTGTGCAAAATATGTGTTTACCATTTCTACGTATTGCTGCACTTCTCCAGAGTCATTTATATAATAAAGAATCGTTACATATTCAGGTAATTTTTAAATTGCAATGAGTAAAATTTGCAAAATGGATTTTGTTTCCTTTTGCTTAATATTTTATTTATTATTATAATTATATAACTTGTAAATAAAACATATAAATCTGCTTTTTTTTACAGGATGAACAAGAAGAATTTTACAAACTTTGCAGGTATTTAAATCTGATATCATCATCCTGCAGTGCAGCAGAATTTTCTCCTTCACAATGTCTAAATTGGGCTACAGACAAGCCAGAAGACCTCATCAAAACCTGGTGTCAAGATTTTATTAATTTTGTCAACAAATCTGTTGTTGCAGCAAGAGTAAGTTTTATTTATTTATTTATTTTTATTTTTTTGTCATTATTATGTTATGTTTTATCTTTATTTCTTTCAGAATATGCTGCAACGTCCAACAGTCTGGCATCCACCAAGTCTTCTGCAACTTCCAGAGAATTATGATCAGATATTTCAATATTATCATCGGAGATCATGTACTGTATGTCATAGTGTGCCAAAAGATCCTTCGGTCTGTCTAGTTTGCGGGACAATAGTTTGCCTTAGGGATAATTGTTGTCATAAGCAATCAGTATATGAAGCAGTTAGTGTAAGTGGGATCCCTCTTCTATAAAATGACATTATAAAAGTTATTAGCATAACTAATAGAAATAAAAATTTCAGCATTCTGTTGTTTGTGGTGCTGGTACTGCTATGTTTCTAGCAGTCAACTCGTCTACTATAATTGTTATCCGGGGAAAGCGTGCATGTCTATGGGGTTCTGTGTATCTAGACAGTTTCGGAGAAGAAGACAGAGATTTAAAGTGAGTATCGTGATCTAAAATATAATTTTTAAAAATTTAAACATTTCTAATTATTATTGGAAACTTCTTTCTTACAGGCGTGGAAAACCACTCTTTTTAAGTAAAGAACGGTATAGTCTTTTACAACAACAGTGGATAAATCACAGTTTTGACCATACGAATAAACGTTGGGTGTGGCATAAAGATAATTTATAAAATAGTTTATAAATAATTTTGTCATTAAACTTCCAGCTGGGTTTGAAAGAAAGTATAAAAGATAAGTCAAAAAGCAAATATGGCTTAACAATCTTGTACAGATTTAAATTGTTGCCATATTGTAAAGTTGCACATAATGTACATTTATGATCAGTTTGTATTTTTGGTATTTGTTTGTACATTGCTAATTTTCACCACATTAGAGATATGTAACATTTAATTTCTTCCAGTGTTAAAAAAAACCATATAAATATTTGTTCCACCAAAGTTATTTGATTTTATGAATATATAGTAGTAGTTTTTTAAAAAATGTAACATATGGATTTTATAATTTTAATAACATTTGACAGTATAATAACTATATATAAAAGATTTCTAGTAAAATTTGCATGTTACGGTTTTCTATTTTTAGTAAAATTCCCTTTCCTCTTCTCCCATTACAAACCAACATATGGTGCACTCAAATATGGTATGATACCTGTAATTTATTATGGGATGTTAAATTGCTAGAGAACTTTTTGAAATATCTGACTTGAGTCAACATATTGACTTTCTCATTGTGAATAATAAATTATATTAATATAGGAATGATGTAAAATATTCTGTAAAATAAAAATTATCAAACAATACTTTAAATATTTTTGGTAGTAAAAGTTACTGTCTGTAGTATTATCAACGCATTTTAATTTTTGTCAAATTACAATAATTTGTTGTTAGAAAATAATGTATCTAAAAAAAATTTCAAATACTGTACATGTACTACCACTCAAGACACATAAATTGGGGTCACATTGTAATTCAATCAAGTACTCATTAAGAGTTGCTTTATTTTCCTCATTTACAAGACAAAACATTTGATACAACCAACATTGTCCAAGATTGAAATTTGTGCATTCCAATTCGAGGATTTATAGGTTCTAGTCTGTTTTCTTTGTTTTATTCACTCGGTACTATCCTTAGCAAATGAAGACAATTTGTTCTAGTGTGGTTGCACAGTTCAGTGAACTTTCTCTACATAACAAACCCTTCTATTGGTGATAACTAAGTAATATGATAACAGTTAAATTTTACTGTATAACAATTTTATCAGATATTTGTTTTCTTTTCTTTATTTAAAGTATTTGTGTTTTTCATTTTGTATCCATTTTTATCAGTGGATAACATAACTGTTTCATTTTATTTATATAACATTAGTGTTTCAATACACCTATTTACAATTGTTAGTTGGATAAGGTAATTGAGAAGTGAGTAACACTGAAATGAAGTACATATTTCAGTCATGGGTTATGTTTATAAATCAGGGTTACACTAAAATTTTTAAAGTAATATAGCAACACTATATAATTCAATTACAAGAATACAAATATTGTATTCTTACACACAAATATACTTTATGTAAAAATGGGTAAAGATTTTTAGCTTAAATATGCTAAAATATCATATTTAAAATACCCTTTTAATGCTCAAAAGAAATATTTAGCAGTCCAAATGCAACCAAATCTGGCATGGTAATATTTCTGAACATGCATATTTCCATAAAAAAAAGTGGTAAATTTTGGTAGATTCTATGTCATTTTTGGTGCTGCAAACAACAAAAATTTTAAACAATGCAATAGGTATTGCTCACTGTCCCCATTTCAAAGGTGTAAAACCAGATTGTCTTCTGGTTTTACATTTCTGGAATGGGGAATACACCTTTCTTCTAACTTTATTCACAGAGGATCATTTAATAGCGAGGTTGAGGCCGAAGTTTTAAACGCGAAAACTTGTACATCGGGCATTCAGCACTGTTTTCCTGTTTGCCTTACAGGAAAACAGTGCTAAATGCCCGATGTACACGTTTTCGCTTCCCGATGTGCCAGGAACACATATGCGTAAAATTGTGTGGCAGAAAACTGAATCAGAAATCAGCTTTCAGTTCAGTTTCTGTTTTACACTTTTATGCCAGAACACACATACGTAAAAATTCTGGCCGAATAGGAAACGCCACTGCCACTAACAGTGCTAATTTTATTAATTTTTTCCTCTCACAGAGGCTATCTATCCCTTTGTATAGTACCTTCCATTTTTTCTCCACTTCCTCTGCTATAATATAGAAAATTTAAATTAATAGACTTGTATTCCGAATTCAAATAAAGAACGTGTGATCTAAATACTAGGCCTATATATCGATTCTACTAGACTTACCTGTTATTTGAAATTTAACACCTGTAGCCATCCATAAACGTTGTTTAAATACAGTGTCTTTATACATGATACTGATGTGGTCAAACGAATTCAATAAACTCCTCTATTTTTCCAGACCGTCACAATTGTAGGATAAACCCTCATTGCCGCCATTGTTAGAATAAAAACCACGTGTCTACTTTGACGTCACTGGAAAGACTTCTCTTTATTGGAGGAATTTTGGCGTAAAAATTTTTCGGCGTAAAAAGTAGAGACATGCTCTACTTTATTTTCAGTTCTGTTTCAGCCAAAATTTCAGAAAAATTTTTACGCTTTCTGTTTTATGCTAGATTTTACGCCGAATTTTACGCATATGTGTTCCTGGCCTAAGCCTATAAGTTTGACAATGGTATTTGGAATGTTGAGCATGATTCCACTGACTATCCAAACACCATTGTCAAACTTCTAGGCTTACAGGAAAGTGGTGCTGAACATCCAACGTACACGTTTTTGCGTTTAAAACTTCAGCCTCAACCTCGCTTATCATACTATGTCAGAAACATCTTTCAAATCTGTCAAATTTGCAACATATTGATAAACCACGCTATTTAGATGTTTCCAAAGCCAAAAATCACATGGATTAAGATTCAGAAAATGAGGTAGCTAGGCAATAGCAATAGCAAACATCCCTCTTATCAGTGAAATGTAGCAGATATCTGCCATATGCAACATCTGATATGTGGCACGTCCTCCACATATCAGATGATGCACCTTGCATAAAAGTTTTTAACCCGAGCTAATGTTACTGTTACAATGCTAGTTTGGATACTACAAGTGTTAAGAATCTCTGGGTGGTCAGAAGTCCATTGGAACTAGCTTCTTCAAAGAACAATGGTTCAAATATAAATGTAGCTGTGAATCTACATCAGTCAAGTGTAATGGAATCTGAAGGAAACATTGGGTTTTTTGTTACCTAAATGCAATAGCTACAGGTGTTCCTGTGCCCTCATTGTTCCATGGAATTTTCCTTGGCCACAAAACATCAACTTCCATTCTGGCAAGGAAGGTCAGTCAGGTTTTCCTGTTTGACAGAAGCAATTGTTGATTGTAGCTGATCTTACATGGATAACAATGTATCACCTTTCTCAATATCTTTCACACTACACCATAGGATACACTCAACTGTCATGATGCTGCATCTTGTAGAACAGTCAATGAATAATGTTACAACAGCTATGTGACATCTACAATGACTTGTGAAATGATATAGTAATTCAACCCAGTTGAGGGCACAAACCTATATCCAGTTTCCTTGAATTAAACAATCATTCTGATAGTTTGTGAAGTTGGTCATAAGTGTAAATTCTTATGATGGTGAAATTACTGAAGTGCAACTGTAGCTAATTGTAATGGCCATTGTAGCTAATAAGGGTGGCATTCAATGGTTGTTAAAACAATGGCCATCGCTTTGCCAGAAGAACACACATTTCTTATGAAGAAAATGGCTTCACAAGAATGGGGGTTCTGTCAAGTTGATAGCCATTGTAGCCAATAAGAGTGGCATTCAACAGTTGTTACTACTATTATATCCAGAACTTGGGTATTTTGCATTTGAAGCCAAAATACCATAATGGTGAATTTTGGTACTTTTTATCAAAATGTCTTGGGCAAGTCCTGAAATGTCATCATACAGATTTGTATAATTATGATCACTTTACTTAGCTATATAAATATGGTATTTTGCAATTTAGCAATAAGACAAAAAATTTGCAACAAAATATGAATTTTTTTGCAACAATGCAAACTGACAAAAATTTAATTAAAAAATAATAATGTGTTTTTAATTTATATTTTCACAAAGAATCTAATGTAATATAGAAAGAGATCAATTCGAGGCTATGATTGTTTGTTTGATCTTACTGTTATTGATAGTAATGACTTGAAAGAAAGCAGATGGGGTGTGCATATGTTTATATACTAGAATATTGAATCTGGTATTTTCATTAGCATATGATCCATATGTCTATATTAAATTGAATTTTTTCAGCTAATGTTTCTGTATATAACCTTAAATAATAATGATTTATTATTTTTATGAAAATTTTTAACATGAAAAATAAACTACATGACAACAACGCTATGGCATACCCTCTCTCAAACATCCCAAAAACAAACATTATCTAGCTCAGCTATTTGAAAGTTTCATTCTTATCAATAATGTGTAAATTATAGACTGATTTAATTATAATCAGTAACACATCACAGATCAAGTAGACTCAATAACTTCTTGTACTTTCATACATATCAGTAATTCAGTTACTTTGAATTGTGGCAAAAACACTTTAATTCCATTTTTTGATATATTACATATAAAGAAAAGATCACAATATCAAACAGGTGTTCTTTTATCAAAAGTACATGCAAGGGAGAACAACGATTAGAAATATATCATTTCGAGGCACCTATCTTGGTCCATTAAAAATAGTGATAATAAAATATTAGTGTTGCTTTCTTTATTTTGTTTGTCTAGTGGAAGACAAGTTATCACAGTTCTTACATTTAACTGTTCCTCAAAGAACTAGGTGTATTTTACATGGTCGACATTTCGTGCTTTCGTGAAGGATAAATAACAAACAGCAATAACTGAAAACCAGATATGATGCATCCAAGAAGATTTGGAATCTGTCAAAGTTCAATTATTATTTTAGTCATGTAATACAGCCAGACATTAACAGAATATATTAAACTTACTTGGATGAAGCTATCATGTAGTAATAATCCATAAATGAACCACAGTGAGGTTACAAAGAAGGAGAAAAGGATTAGTAAAAATGGCAAACTTTCAACAGTCTTAGTTCTTCGTACTTCCGCCTAAAAAAATAATTCTAATTTTAATTTTAATTCACTGAAATTTATTTTAAAGTGCAGCATTTATTATTTACCAAAGATGCCAGAGGCGAAGCGCAGAATATTAAACCCGCACAACAAGCAGTCAGTCCGGAGACTAGAGTTGCCGTTTCTTTATCCTCGATGACGGCATTCAAGTAACCATAATAGGCAACCAGAGCAATGCATATAGAAAATATTTGTCTATTTAATGTTACCTGAAAATAGACAATATTTTTCTATAGAGTACTTAAATTTTTATATAAAAATTATTAAGTAAAATGCCTTAATCTTAATAAATATACCAAAAACACTTTTAATTTTATATCATTATATTGAATTCTGAAAAGAGATTGAAAGTTTCATGTCATATATAATTCTTGTTAATTTTTACTTAATCTCTCATGTTCTGATTCATCTAATGTATTTAATTACTAATGAGTAAGTTGGAAAAATGAAATTGTATCTTGCAACTGCAAATTTAGTAAATTAAAAGTATTAAATTTGTGATATGGCATAGTTATAGGTCCAAGACAGACAATAATTATCCCCATCCTCAATATCTTCATCATTTGTCTTACATGTTATTTAGACAGAATCAAATACAATTCTTTTCATTATTGAATTTTGTAATATATGTTCTACGTTTAAATACTTTTGCAGATTGCAGATTTATGTACACAGGGTAATTCTCTTGTTAGGAAACCCTAATATTCCTCAATAACTTTTATTGCTTTTTATGGAGCCATTTTCAACATTGCTTTAGGGAGATCTTGCATTTACCTTATATTTTGTAAAACGTAATTTTCATAGGAAACTATAAATAAAAACAGTTATTGAGGAATGTTTGGATTTCAAGAGACTAACCCTGTATATATATATAATTATTATATACAGGGTAATTCTCTATATAATAATCATATATGTGTAGGAGGGTCATTTAATAAAAAAAATAACTACTATAACCTATCTCAAAAACTGTAAGAGATTTTTAGAAGAAATGAGCAATTATTTATTGTGACATCATCACAATGCTGGAATGCAATTTTTAATTTATTTAAATTTAAAATATGTTCTCCATCTCAAATTAGTACTGTAGTGTCTCGCCCCTGTACATCATACTTTTCTGTTAGATGACCGACATGACTCCATTGCTATCTAACTCTCTTCAGGGAAAATTTCTTAATTGAAATAATGTGACTTCCAGTTTGCATTGGAGGTTCATATATAGTTAACCGGTTGTGCTACATGTGGTATCGGTGTTGTACTACCTTGTACAGCAATAAAAATATTGAATTGAATAGTTAATTGGGGTCTCCTACCCCTAAGGTTTCCATATCTGGTCTCATCTTTCATTTATCTAACTCCATTCTCAAGATTAAGGAAGAAAAGACAGAAAGATGACAGTGGGAATTTATAGGTCTACAATTTTTCAAATTGCAGCCCAAAAACAAATGTGTAAACTAAATTGTATTACAAAATTTTTAAGACAAATTCAAAACTGAACCATGCAATAGTAATGTCATCAATTGATGCATTTTGTGAGAACCATCTGGATTTTGTGATAATGTCATCTCATTGGAGCAGTGAAGCTTCATAATAAATGTTTAACAGCAGTTTTTAATTCCAAAAGAGTATCATCAGGAACTAGAATCTGAAGATTATAATGCTCTCCCATATCAAATCATTGCACTGTGTTGAAAGTACTCTCAGAGTGGAAGATATCAAACAGCAAACAAACAACATAGAAGTTATCCACTAACAAAAATGAACAATTTGTTAATTGCAGCCATTGTGCATTGCATTGCGATTGATTGGCGACAAAACTCAGTTAAGATTCATCTCTACTGTTTGCTCTCAATGGATTTATGTCTTAATGATATGTAGGAATGGAGACTTGCCACAATCATTTGGAATGTTACAATAATGAAGGAGATGATTTTCTACACCGAATTGTTATGAGATGAAACCTAGTCATGTGCTTACAAACCAGAATTGAAATGGCAATCCAGAGAATGGAGTGATCCACATAACCAATACCAACAAAAGTTTGCCAAAATCCTTCACATGTGATACATTACTAAGCAGCAGCCTTTTATGACCATAAGCAACAATGACCAAATCTTTCACAAGAGCTTTCCGCAGCTTATTACTGCTCATTCCTACAGAATCATCTCCATTTAAGTAGTTAAAAAAAAAAACCATCTTCATATGTTTCCAATTATCTTACATAACAATTGCACAATCATGCATCAACTTCACATATTGCTGAACCTAATCCCCAATCATAAATGGGGTTAGGGATCTTGGAGCATCCTTCCTATTCACAGGACCTCAGTTCATATGATTGTAACAAACCTGTAATCTTACAGAGAAGATATGTTAAACAGAGCAGAGCCAAATCATCATATCAGCCAGGAAAAAAATCGACTCAAGGATAGGAAGTATGGCAATATCATTTTGCTGGAGAAAATGCATGGAATACATGAGAGTGTATTTTGA